GGTTACAGTGGGGCGGGGTGGGGAGTGTCTTATAAGGCCTGTGGCTGCGAATGGTGTGTTCCCATGCCCTCTCATTTCTATGCCATCCCTGGGTGGTATCCCAGTTGGTCTGGACTTGGGTTGGCACAAGAGAAGGAGCCAGGCCCAGGGTCACCGGCTGAAATCCTGGCTCCTGATGACCCCGTGTGAACCTCTGCTGTTCAGCATTCTCCTTAAAAGTGGGGTCAAGGTGCCTAGGGTGTCAGTGGGTGGTGAGCCTTCACACAGTTTGGCTGCTACCTTCTGTGGGTCATCTGGGCGCTTGGAATCGAGAGGAGGCAGCATGGCTCCTGGCAGGTTCTAACAAGATCGCTTCTTCCGCTGTCTGTGCAGGGATTTGGACTTAAAGAAGGCCATCTACCAGAAGACAGCTTGCTATGGCCACTTTGGGAGAAGCGAGTTCCCATGGGAAGTTCCGAAGAAGCTTGTGTTTTAGGGCTGATGGGGTGACCTGGCCTTTGGGGAACTCACTGGAGGGAACTGAATGGCACGTTCCCCCTCCCCTTCACCTCAACTCTCAGGTCCCCTGAGCCCCAGGCCATTGGCTACCTCTCGCCGATTCCCAGCCCACAGGGCGAAGTCAGGTCCCTTATGGTGCCCTGTCCTGGACCACCATGAATGGCCAGAGGCAGGACTGTCTGGTGCTGGGCTCAGGACTCCTTGGGAAGAGAATGACAACGTTCCCTGCTCATCTTTCAGGCCAAGGTGGTATAATTTATCTTTCCCTTCATTTTCTGACCCAGCCTAGACCTCGTCAGCTCCCTCACACAGCCCTGCATGTGCCAAGGGCGCATCTCTCATAGCTCCCGGGGGGACCCGAGGCTCTGAGTGCTTGCCTCGCCACCACCTCTGCAGCCAGTGCTCCCGAGCCAAGGCCTGGCTGCGACAATAAGCACTGGCATCTCTTCTGCACTCACGTTGTGCAAAGACCGAGCGCCACACCTGTCTCATTTCCTCTTCTGTGCAACACCGTGAGAGGGCGCCTTCTGAACCGGGCCCAGTGCCATGGAGTCCGCTCTACTTGATAGCTGCCCTACAGGACAGAGGGGCACTTCCCCACAGGATTCCTAGGGCTGTGCTCTTAGGGAAGCAGACGGCCGCATGAGCAGCGGATGGATTCAAACCCCAGTCTCTTGGTGAGCGCTTCACCTCCGCACCCCCAGGGCCCCTAGACCCCCTTTTATACCCACAGCTCCCACATAAGAGCACGGTTACAGCAACCCTAAACCCTTTAATCCAGATCCACAGCCTCTCTTCAATCTCTTTGCCTCTGCTCAGGCCCGCTTCGGGCACGAAGCAATGGTGGACCAGCTCAGTGCACAAAACCCAGGTCACAGGCCTAGGGTCTGATGTGTACCCCTCAGGGTGCGGGGAGCTGCGTCCTTGCTTGGCTTTCCTCCCATGAAGTTGCCTTGCTGGTCTTCCGTCTGCCTTCTTCCCAGCTCCTGGGACCGTGGGCTCAGCTAGGGGCCCTGTAGGCACTGGACGCCTTTCCAGGCACGGGGTGCTGGTTCTGATGTAAGTCTGAAGTATGTCTGTGAAGCCGCCTACACGGAGTCCAGGCTCACCCTGGCCATCCGGGTAAAGAACTCTTCAGGGCGGTGAAAAGAAGTGTCTCCTGCCCGTATGTGACAGGACATGCTTAGGGCTTCCCCCCCAGGAAGGGCTCTTCATCTCCGAAAGGTCTCTAGTCCCTTCCAGCAGAGAAGGGAGTTGACCATCTGTGATGTGAAAATCCAAACTTTTATTACGACTCGCCACCCCCACCCCCACCAAATGTTGTTATACCCTTCTGCCCCCCACCCAAGAGAAAGAAACAACGTCGTCCTGGTCAACATGCTTGTAAACAAATGTTCGTATGAAACGAAGGACTTGATGTGTTAACAGTTCCTGCTAGAACAGTGAATAAAAGCTCTCCATATGCCTCATCTTTGTCAGCCAAGCCCCAGGGACTCCCACTCCTGGGGCAGCATTACAGATCCTCCATCCCTGGGAAGCCTGGGCATCCTCCCCCCTCCGAGTCCCTGACTTGGGCCTCTACACGCTCATCGATGTGAGACATGTCATCCCATCCGGGCTAGGTTTTTGTTCACCTGCCATTACTGTGCTCAGTCACCGTGTTCCCTTACTTATTCCTGGGCACACCCCGAGGAATTTTTAGTGAACCCATTTTACATATGGGGAACCTGAGGCTGAGGAATTGAAGCAAGAGTCTTGGCTGGGAAGTGCTCGGCTGTGGGAGCATGTGCTTCTTGGTTGCGTTAAGCTGCTGCCCCAGGTCTCTTAGGTGCATGGTTCCTCCTCCTCATTATTGCCAACGGTCTGCCGGAAGACCAGCACCCAGACCATTCCTTATCCAATGATTGAAAACGGACTGAGTGAATGAAGGCCAAGGGTTTAATCTGCAGGAAGATGAGTCAGACCTTTGACTGGGTATCATTTTCCTCTCACTCATTTTGTTTGATTATAAGGAAGAGAAACATTGTTTTCCATTAGAAGGTTGTCCCCGAGGTGTGATCAGTGCTGATGGGGAGACGGGACTGCGCCGTTGCCTACAGCAGACTGTTAGCTGAAGGGGTCAGGATTGCAGACCTTAAGGGTAGGCTCCTGGGTGAGGGAGCTGGATTAAGTCCCGGCAAGCTTGCTGAGAGCCTGATAGCAGACCCAGGTGTGGAATATTCTGCACAGACAATAACACACGTCGTTCCAGAATGCACACAAAGGAAAACATGGAACACATGAGATGGCCTAATATGTGCGTCTGGGGAAACTAAAATAATGGATGATCACAGGAAAATAAACCAATTAATCAATCGTTAAAACAACAATTCTTAAAAGAAAATAAGTAGTGAAAGCAAAAAAGCAGAGCTCTGACGTTCCCAAATGCTAAAATATCAAGGCGTCGAGGAAGCAGGGAAGGAGACTGAAAGCACGTGGCTAGTAAGGTGGACGGGTCCCAAGAGCATGACTGCCCCTGGGAGCCAAATGGGGATGAGGGAGGGATCAACTAATAGAATGCTAAATGATACGTTAGAGGGCCATGTGACGGTCAGTGACCCTGGAATGGGCATGGTAATCTGTAAATAGGACTATGTTCCCACCCACACGTGGCCCTTTATTGTATGTCGTACATGCAGAACAAACCCAAGGAGTGTGAATGGCAATTGCTGCCCACCGGCCTGGCCCATGCCCACTTCTGCCTCTCTTTGGACTTTGCCGCACCCACAACTCCTCTCCCCACTTCTTTTTTTCTCCCAAACAGGCCACACTCATTCCTGTTCCAGGACCTTTGATGAACATTTCTCTTCCTCCAGGTGGGGTGGGAAGGCCATTGAAATGCGTGCTGAGGATGGCGAGGGAAAGTTTGAACTGAGAGATGGACAGTACTTTGGGGGAAAAGCATTATGATGGGTCAATGGGAGAAAAGATTGACAACTTGGCCTGTGGCTGGTTGAAGTGGGAGATGTATGACAAGATCTTTAAAAGCAATGTTTCCCTGTGACCTCAGTACAAGGTGAGAAGTGGTGTGACAAACACTGGGTCCCAGGCCCTGGCTTTCTCTCCCTGGCATCTTCCTGAGAAGTTTAAAGGCATAAGGAAAGGGGACTGTGTGCTGAGGTACATGCACACCAGCCTCTGGTGCAGAGGGAACCAGCCAGGAGGGGTAACATTGCTGTGATTCACAGGAATCTGCTTCAGCTCTGGCGCTGGACGTCCCCACGATAAAGTAGCTGGGGACAGATCCATTTGAAGTGCTTGTCTAAGGCCTTAACCTGCCTAATCTGATTTCATAAACAGGAGATTCTGGTGCATTAGGGGAAAACCACAAAAGAAAAAGATATGAGGGTAAGTCAAAAAGTGTGACGGCTGGAGTTTCAATTCATACATTTGAAGGTTTATTCCAACCAATAGGTATTTAAGCATGGCTTTGTGATCGGTGGATGGCCGTAGACAACGTCTCTCAGTATCCCAGGCATCTTAGTCTCATTCGAATGCCTTTACAGAGAAGGTCCTCTTACAGCAGCGGCATTTGAAGGGATCTACTGGGCCAGTGCAATTCAAGACAGAGAGGCTAGCTCAGAAGGTTGTGATGATTAGGGGTGGGTGGGTGGAATTTCAAAGAGGTCATCTTGATAGATTTTCTCGAAGGACCCAGGGCACTCAGAGGTGCTTATTGGGAAGACGATTTTTAAAAATAGGAGAGTTGTCACACCATGTCATGGAACACTTGCACATGAACAATTTTTGTATTAATTGGAAACTAATGTGGGAGTATACTAATAGGCTAAGTGAACTTTCACCTAAAATACAATGTTAAAAATAAAATCGAATTTAATTAATTCAGAACAGAAAGCGTAAAGCCACGCAATAAATAAAACATCAAAAACACACATACACACGCGCAAAAGAAAATTGAAACTTGCATCGATGGCTCCTCCCTAAACACTATGTGTGAATCGCATGCACCACCGCTGTCTGTCTGGTACGGAGTGATCAGAGACTGTGCCCTTTGAGGATGGCAGGGCTCCTAGGAGTTCGTGCTTCCTGCAGTCTGACCTTGTTTACTTTGTTAGTCATGTCAGACCTGCCCCAGTGCAGGCAGCAAGGACCATCTTATGAAAATTTTGTTGTGAAATCTAACCCCATTCATCCTACCATCCTGATATTCCCCCTTCCGACTTCTCTTTATTCCTCAAACTCAAAGAACACTTCAAAAAACCCTGATCTGTAGTCCTCTGAAAATACCCAAACTGCCATTTTGATGGGGTATAAGCACAACTTCTTCAGGGAATAGATTCAAGAGATGGAAGTACCACCTTTGTAGCTATAGCCCTCGATGAAGAAATAAGAGCGTCACACGTGGATACTTTTGCTGAATAAAGGTTTCTATGCTTCGGTAGCAGTACTTTTTGACTACAGTCACAAGCGACAAAACAACAAGTTGTGAGGCCACATCGCAAGGCTGCAAAGCAGCATGAAGACAACAAATATCCCAGTTGTTGTTGTCAGGTGCCGTCGTCTCGGTTCCAATTCCTGGTGACCCCCGCACCACAGAGCAAACACCGCCCAGTCCTGCGCCATCCTCACAATTGTTCTTGTATTTGAGCCCACGGTTTCAGCCCCTGTGTCAATACCCCAGTAGAAAATAAAAGCAATATTAGGATGGGAATAAACAAAGGCAATGAAAAAAAAATTTAAATCATGAGCAATGAGACGTTGCCTAGGCTCCCTGATGTGTACAAAACGCAAAACGCCTAAAAAACACAGTATCGCATTTTGGCAAACAGACCACCAAAAGACAAAGGAAAGCAGAGAGAAGTCCTTAAAATCCAGAGGTGATAAAGCAGAATGAAAGTGGACCTTCCAAACCACAATTGTGGGTTTACGTTGGTACGGACTTCCTGGCGGGAACTGGTTCTTGGCCTTGACATTAGATGCATGTTTGCCGTTGGAAGCCCTTGAATCAGAGAAGCAGTCAACATTAGAGGAGAGCACTTTGCTCCTGGACATGTGGGTCAGACGGCCTGCCATGGTCCAAGGATGGCAGGAGGGCAAAGCCAATGTGTGCTGCAAGAGTCGGGGTCAGGGTCCTAGTAGGGGAGCTCTCAGGAGAACTCATCCTTTCTTGACCACTAGGGAACTGGGCTCCCTTCCTTTAGCTAAAGCACGTGTTACAGGCCTCCCTTCACTGGGTGTTCTCAGGAGTCTCCACAAGGTGGCCCTGCTTCCCAAGCCAAGGCCGCCTTGTTGAACTAATCATGGCAACCAAGAGGAAAGAAGGCCCCTACTCCAACGGCACTTAGATCCCCTGTTACAGAGAAGGAAACTGAGGCTCAGGCAGGTGAAATCATTTCTGAGGGCCACTCTATAAAAAGAAGAGCCTGTGTTGGGGTGAATCGGAGCCAGAGGTAGGGCCTACGCGATCCCCATCACCCCTGTCGATGGGGGACATAGCCCACCCAACACTGCTGACCCAGTGGCATCTCTAGGGTTGGTGTCACCCAGTGTGGTAACTATGGAGTTACACTCTGTTAGGCTGGGTCGTCTAGAGAAATAAAACCAGCAACACTCTTATATGTATGAGCCATGGATCCTCTAGAACATGAGCCATGTTCTAGCCAGGGCCCTCTTCAGACTCACATAGCTGTAGGCCCATGATGCAGAAAGGTGAATCAGGATACAGGAAGACAGGCCAGGTGGCATAGAGTCACATGGATTCAAGGTCGGGGGAACATAGCTCTCAGGGTTTGGAGGCCCACATGAGGTCACCCTGGAAGCATGCACAGAGTCCCAGCAAGGAGGAAGATGAAGCGGCAGAGTGAGGGGAGCTTTTCCCAGTGTCCCTCTTATAAGAAGGCCACACCTCCCAGGAGACATCATCAGGCTGTCACCTGATTGACAGGTTGGACTCCACCACTGCGCAAGTGTAAGGGGACATAAAATCGAACTGCCATACCCCCTGCCCTTTCACTCATACCAGACCATACAGAATTCTTTTTGTTTGTTGGTTTGTTTATTTATTATTATTTTAAAATAATTTTATTGGGGGCTCATACAGCTCTTATCACAATGCATACATGCATCAATTGTGTCAAGCACATTTGTACATTTGTTGCCAGCATAATTTTCTTTCTTTCTTTTTTAATCATTTTATTAGAGGCTCATGCAACTCTTTTTTTTGTTTACTTATTTATTATTTTAAAATAATTTTATTGGGGGCTCATACAGCTCTTATCACAATCCAGACATACATCAATTGTGTAAACCACATTTGTACATTCATTGCCCTCATCAATCTCAAAACATTTGCTCTCCACTTAAGCCCCTGGCATCAGCTCCTCATTT